AATCGAAGCTGGTTACTCGTTTGGTAGTGTGACAGTCAGTACCACTTTCTCATATTCTCTATCACAGGAGTGGACGGAGAGCCAAGAATCGTCGGAAGAGATAACTTTTACTTGTGAAGTTTATGATAACGGCCAACCGTTCTTGGGAGGATGCATGTGGCAGTTAAAACTTACAACTGAGCAAACGACCAACGACGATGAATTGGCGTGGAAGCCCCAAATTGTGAGATGCACTCGTGGAACTACAGCGCCAACATGCCCTCCATTCACCAGATGCCAAGATGAAGCATGCACGATGTGCGAGGGTACAGTGTTCGGGAAGAAGAAGCGCAAACACAGTGTTAAACGCTCCTTTTGGAAAATGGTGTCGAAAACACACAAGTGATCAAGCTAAATTGTTCACCAGTCGAAGTTATTCACGATATTTTGGTTTGTATAGCGTAGTAAAGCATGAATAAGCAGTTGTGACATTTAATTAGTGAGTAAATAATTTAAGATGGTTTTTTAATCTACCTTAAGTAATTTTGAAACGCCTAAGTTTTCAAACTATCACATATTAGGGAGCGCTCATTATTAATGCCCAGGAGAGAGGGTGGTTCGACTGTCAAGATCTAGAAATATATGCTAAATTTTCATACTCCCTCGCAGGTTGGAAGAAAAATACATAACCTGCTTAAACTAATTTGAGTCTTTGTAAGTCTACAAATTACTTTCCCACCCTCCTCTTTTTTGCAACAAATTCCACCTGATGTGTGAATAATGAACGGCCCCTAATAGTCTATATACAGTGTAGTATAGTATTTATGGAAGCACGGGTAGTTAGTACACTGCCTCTTACAACTGAGTTTGGTTACCTTGTTACTGAATATCGACAGCATGCTGTTCAATACTTCAGTTGAGCAACTTCCATTTGTTTATCAACTTATGTTACTAGATATTTCGTTGGTTCTTTCCCGTGCATGGGGGTTTTTCTCCGGGTACTCCGGTTTCCCCCACCAACTAAAAACTAACTGTTGGCCAAGCATTTATAATTGTAGAACTGTCATGCAAAAATTATAGTATTAAAAATAACACGACTTATGCATGTTCATTGTGTCGATGAGTGCATTCCCGTATGTATTAATTTGTTGCCTGTATGTCTGTCTGTCCATCTACGTGTTCGTGCACTAAAATACGCTCCAACTATGGGAGTAAATAATTGTTTGCATGAAAGCGTTTTGGAAGAAAAAAGAATGAAAAAGTTCACTGCAAAGAAGAACCCAAGAAGGCAATGAATCGAATCGTGGTTAGTTTTAGTTGCTAGCGATACCATATTAAACTAGATGACATTCAGAGTGTACGTGCGCTGCAAATTAAGTCAATTAATTGTACAAGATAAGCCATGCAATATTTCAACGAACAGTGACCTTCTTGTTTGTATGTTAACATGTCAACAAGACATGTAAGCACTAATCTGTCCAACGTGGTTTAAACTTCGAAAAGCCTTGCTGCAAACTTTGCCAACATGGATGTCCTTAGACATGTGCGTATCGAACCATGTTCTAAGATTATTGACTGTATTTACCGGAGAGGCGCTCACGTCACACACTCGTAGTTTATGTATAACTCCTCTCTCCTGCGCAGAGGCTTCATATGGCTATGAATACGATTAGTTGTGAGATGGAACGCGAGCGGAGCCGCTGGGCGAAGGAGCGCAGACGGAAAAGGGTGATGGCGATGAAAAGCGTGAAGCCTCTGACGATGCCACACCCAAAGGCGGTGAACCGGGGGGGGTCGTGTAATTATCAAACGCAAAATTCAAGTCAAAATGGCTGCGAAAATATTTTTTTATAATATTACAATAAGCTGACAAGCAGATTATTTATTAGCTCAGTCCGAAATAATGAAGTGTTATTCGTCCAGTTTGCAAGAAAACATCTGCAATTTTTTCTAAACAACGTCTCCATCTACACTATAAAACAATGCATGAAAACAACGTATTTAGCGAACAGGTTTTGGTAGAAGGCGATGCTTTGATTCGCCAATATGCAGCGAAGAAACGTGTACATAAGCAGAGAAATTTATATTTGTATTTTTAGAAATGTGTCCAAAACCGCATATAAGAAAAAAATAACTATGTAGCATACATAACCATTATTAAATTTACTTTCAAAACTGAAAATATCATTTCAACTATTTCAATTCAGCAATATTTACGAATGCGTGACCTTGTCTAGATTTCATTCCGAACTAACCTGAAGTTCTGGCCCCAATTTTAAATAGGACCTGACACAATACCTGTCTAAACTGTGGGATTTCCGTCAATCTGGTGGACGGAAAATCTGATTGCATGATCAGCATCATTAAAGATTTTGATTGGTTGCAATTTCACATAAACAATAGTTTAAAAAATAGCTTGGTCAAGGCGACAATTAAGGTCAAACGCATGTATCAAATTCCATCATCGAATATCTTCTAATTTCTATTCTTTTATGCTTTATGGCAGAAAATAAATCAAACAAACAGTATTTTGAAAGGGCTTTATCAAAATCTTTGACGAAGTTGGACACACGACGCTGAAAGAACAGCAAAACTAGTCATGTATTCGAAAGCTTCTTGTTCACAGACAAGAATTTGCTGTTCTGCCAACTGGCTTCGGCAAAAGTCTTATTTATTAGGTCCTACCGGCGTTTCTGAGCTACATCACCTTCTTCGTGGTACGACTGAGAATTTCGTTGTTGCTATTATTAGCCCGTTAGAGTATATCCGCGTCCAGCAAGTTGAGACCTTGAGAAAGCTTGGCATTCAAGCCATGCACAGAAGTGACTAATTAAATAATTGTTTGCTGTTCGGTTAAATAGAGAAACTGAACTCTTAAAGCAGCAGTGCCACCCGCTGCGCATCTTTCTGCGCATGTGTTAACTTGAAAAGGTTGGGTGAACTTTTTCAAAATTTGAAATTCAATATGGCGTCTAATCATGGCGCCATCCACGGAGGCTTAAGGTGAAATGCTGGTCGGAAAAAGGTATTTTTGGATCAAAAAGATTACAGGAAATCATGGGAAAGTGATCATAAAAGGATATATTTGAATCTTAATTTATTTAATTCGTGGAAACAGGCTAAAATTATGGCTGGCTATGAGAAATCAAGTGACAGCGATTTTGCAGCGCACTTGTTGTCTATGGAATTTCGTCGAAGGTAAGTTTCAGTTTGTTTTTCAATTCAGTTTGGAGTTTAAACGCAATTTATATGCAATTTATTGCGTTTTGGTAATTAGGGAATCATCTTCTGCTAGAAATATGCAACGAAAACGACGACGAAATACATCAACTCTTGTAAATACCGAAGAGAAGGAGTCTCACATGGTCGAAGAAGAGGCAAACATCTGCCAAGGTGTGAAGAAAATTACTTTATCACCCTTGAAATACTAATATGTATATTAGGTTCATCCTTTGGAAGACAAAATGAAAACTGCTGTATTTGACAGTATCAAAATTTTTAAAACAATTGGTTTATTATGAAAATTTCTCTTTGTTATGGCTATTTATATTATACGGACATTTAATATGCTGGGCATTGATATTTATTATTGGTTTATTATATCATTGGCATATTGCATTTGTTTTTCGCACTGGGAGGTCGAGGACATCTTTCTACCAGCTAAAGTTTATCTACCCTTACCCTGCAATTTCCTAGGAATTAATTGCCATATACCCCTTTAATTGCAGACCATCCCCTGTATTTTGGTCTATAATCACATCACCTCCTGAATTTCTAAGGTCTCTTTTGACCCCTTCCCCTGGATTTTCCAAGGCCTTTTTCACACCCTACCCCTGGATTTTCCAATGTCCTCAACCACCCCCCCCCACCCTGTGATTCTCCATTGTCCTCAACCACCACCCCCCTGTGGGGAAAATAAATACAATCTGTCTTTGAACACATATGTTTGTACACTTATATAATGTTTCATGCTTTTAGAAGCACGAACATCTACGCCATTGAAAATGTTCTACGATGCAACTATTTCTCTTGTTGAGTCACCTATACCTTCCCAACCGGTTCCTGAATCTGAATGTATTCATGATGATGACAGTACCCAGGTGGATGTAGATCTTAATGTTTCTATTTCTGATGCCTCATTTCAGGAGAGGTAAGCAATGTGTTTAATTTTATGCTAAATAATGTTTTCTCCTGACGATTAATTTTGTTTTTCAGTTTATTTCAAATTACATTTTTATAAAGTATTCATTCTTTATGTATTGTAGTTTTGTTGATGAGCAATATTCCAATAGACCATTTTGATTTTTTGTTGATGAGCAATAACCGAAGGACCAGGCAGTGGGATGCAAAAAATATCAAAGTTGAGAAAGGCTATGAGTACATTCCAATTCTTGTGTCAAAGATCATCAACCGAAGACTGATTGATTTGGATAATGTAACCCGCAATGTTCCCCTCAATGTTAGCGACCCAGGCAACATTGCTCCCACTATTACACACACACCAGCAACAAGAGACATACTACAAAGAAAAAGTAGATTTTAATAACACTATTTATATACTAGAATAGAATACTATTTATACTTATATGTTTGGGATGTTACTCTCAGTGTGTACACACTAGGCAAGCTGAAAAGTTTTCTTGACGGCGGTGGGAATCAACTGCGCGACCTTTGGTTTGCCAGTGCAATACTCTACCAACTGAGATACGAGCATGGGTGGATTTACTGGTGGATTTTGTGTTAAACTTTAACCCTAATATCTAACCCCTGGTGAATCTCTCTCAGTGGTGCCGTTTGCACCCCACTAGAATTGTTCCACCTGTCCTTTTTAAAATATGAAAATCTGCCCTTGGCTACAAGGTCAAGTCGGTTTGAGGTAGTGATATTTTGGAACTGAATCTAGTTCCTTCAATATCAATATGTTCTTATATCATGATCATATAGCATTTAATTTGAATGGAAAACCATATATCGTAGAGCATTGGACTGCCAAACCAAAGGTTGTGCATTGTGGATTGAAGCAAACTTTTCATATAACATCACAAACATATATTTACACCTGAGTGCATAACACCACATACAAAAAATAATAAAAAACTATTTATATTGTTATTATCTTTAATTATCGTTCCCTATATCCCATATAAACTTCAGTTACAGATGGATAGCGCTGTCTTATTTTTAAGACTACACATGACGGGCAAACACGCCGGTTCCCTTTCCCCAAATATCCATGTCGAGCCAAAATAAACTGTCTGTAAGCGGCTTTACGGAAAGCCCTTGTACTATTATCTTCCCGATCGTTTCTAATGTCACTTGTGTTTCTAATGCACAGTTCAAGCACATCAGGGTCCAGACACACCTTTGAAAACCGCGATGATAAGGTTATGCATTTTGTTAGATTGC